TGAAAGTTTTGGCGCGAAAATCGCTAACTCGAGAACGAGAAAAGCTAGAAAGCTGAAACTTTGGGAGAATGTTCCCTGCCCATGTATAACAAAAAGATTTCAAATTCAGCTGCCCAGGGTTGCCCGGGGCTTACGTAAGGGCACGTGAAAATTTTGGCGGGAAAATTCATAACTCGAGAATGAGAAAAGCCAGAAAGTTGAAACTTTAGGGGAATGTTCCATACTTATGCACGACCAAAAGTTTTCAAATTCAGCTCCTTAGGACTACCAGGGGCTCACGTACGGGAACGTGGAAATTTTGGCGCGAAAATTGCTAACCTGCGAACGGAAAAAGCTAGAAAGCCGAAACTTTAAGAATGTTCCCCACTCATGTACCAGCAAAATCAGGTGTTTGGAAGCGCTCGAGCCCAAGTACGCGCGCATGGAAATTTTGGCGCGGAAATTACTAACCCGGGAACGGGAAGAGCTAGAAGCTGAAACTTTCGGGGATGTTTCCTACTCATGTACAACCAAGATCAGGTGTTTAGAAACGCTCGTGCCCACATACGAACGCGTGGAAATTTTAACGCGAAAATTACTAACTCGGGAACGGGGAAAGCTAGAAAGCTGAAACTTTAGGGTGATGTTCCCTACCCATATATGACCAAAAGATTTTAAATTCAGCTCCTTAAAACTATTCGGTACTCACGTACGAACACGTGAAATTTTTGATGGGAAAACTGAAGGCTTCGGTTTTAAAGGAATGCTCTCTACCCATGTGCAACTGAAAGATTTTAAATTTAACTCTTCTTGTGTGGCATTTTTTTGCGGACCAGCGACTTTCCATTTGTCGGGTTACTGAAGTCGACACCTACAACTGACATACCACATCGTTACACAATTAACTTCCCGAACCTCGAGGGCCAGTATTTCACTGCGACACCTACATCTGACATGCCACAGAGTTGCACAGTTAACTTCCCGAACTTCGAGGGCCAGTATTTCACAGGGTTAGCTAAACTGACATACCACATAGCTGCACAATTAATTTCCGAACTTCGAGGGCCAGTATTTCACAGGGTTAGCTACACTCTCCTTGCGATCTTGCTACAGCACGAAAAGTGCAAAAACGCATAATCGCACCGGCCCGCCTGGTGCGTTTCAGCCTGGGTTGTACTAAGATTCTACAGCACATCAGTCATCTTACGAGCACTGCCAGCAGTGTAGTCCGTGTGCAAAGCGCAACCAGGTTCCCTCCTTATGCTGGTGTCCAGACCGACCTTCCTGTACGTGTTACGAAATATCTCTTCTCAAGAAGGCCATGGGGACTTTGGACGACATGGGATCACCCTGCCTCATATACCTCTTTAACCTTATATGGATAAAAATGAAAAGAAAATTCTTGTGTATGTCGAATAATTTTACGCCATCGAATTCTTTTTCTTAATCGGTAAATAGGAGATAGAAAGGGAGAAAATGCTCCCTCGCGTGGTCCAGAAACTAGTTTAGTACTAAAACATGGCCCACTGTACTGCAATTCAGAATCCAGCGTACTCTTCGATTGCTATTCGTTGAGGAGTGTTGTTAGTCGGTTTAGGAAAGTTTGGTATCTTACCTTGCTGATAATATGCAAAAGAAA